TTTTTTTTTTGGTTTGTTCTGGTTTTCGGTTTTTTTTGGTCTTATTTCTGTCCCTTTCCCCGGTTTGTTATCATAACCTGTAGTGCCAACTCTGCTTCCGGAGGGGTAGTGCAGGATGAAACGCTAACGTTGCTTCTCATTCATAAATAAGTAGAAAGTTGTTTCTCCAGTCTTTTGGGAACACAGGACTTAAAAGTCACATCATGTGTAGATATTACAAGCAGCATTACCAAGACGTGGCAAAAAGAGTTTGTCTGAATTGTAATGTTGCATTTGTGACCCTATTCTGGGATTTTTCAGAGGTACAAGGTTAGAATGCTACAATGTTACCACTGTGCCTTCCAATGTTTATATCATCGGAAACATAACATAATCAAAGTGGCTGTGATTTAACAAAACGATTAAAGTGTTACCTACCTGTGTAGCCGAAGTAGTGTGCAGTGAGGCGTTTCTGAATACATGGTCAGATTTTTGGAAAAAAACAAAAACAAAAAAAAAAAAGTTCAAAAACCGTCAAATGAGAAAATTGCTAGTAGTGTGACAGAGCTGATTGATTTTATTGCTTTTCTTGATTTTTTTTTTCAAAATGGGTTTACTAAAATGTAGATGACTTAACTGCCTCCTCCTTCACCTGAAAAAAAATGCCAATATTCAATCATCATGCAGCATTATAACAAGCCTTATAAGTCCTAAAGCATTAAGTTGCACTTTTTTGAGGAGGGGTAGTGCAGTATTTCTCTGGCCAGTATGAATGAAGTTTATACTTAACATATTTGATAGAAACTTAGATCAAGCTACGGCACAGCAACTCATCAGATAGCTAGCTTTGACGTCTGGGCACAATTGAACCAACTTCCATCGTGAATCTTTATTATGATTGACTTTGGTGTATAGTGCAGTAAACAAATAGTGCTCCTAGTTAAGTATTTGTCAGCATCCTTTTGTCTCTAACTCGTTTCTATTTTTACAGCCACACAATCTTGGCATGTATTAAGAAAAAAAAAAAATCCCTGTTCAAGTAGTTTTTCCACCTATCAGCACTGAGTAAATGCCATAAATCCATTGAAATGGTCTAAATGTTCCATCTGTTCTCCTGTTTTGCCAGTTATATAGTAATGAAATACATTTGTAAATTTTATGCAACAAATGGCAAACGTATCATTATTTTGAAATTGTGTATGTAAAAGTTATATTTTTACATGTAGACTCTTGTTATTATGTGTTTTAATACATTGTATCAGTTTTTGTTTTTGTTTTTTTTTAAACTGTGTGGTTTAAAAAAAAAAGAAGTCTCATTTAAATGAAATAGTGAGCTACAAGAATCTGAATTTTATGTTCATTTCTGAAAATGTAAGAACAAATAAGATAGTTACCACGTGGTCATCTTTTATAAACCCATAAACATTTTGATTAGCTGTGTGTGTGTGCTGAGAACTGTAAATATGTTCAGTAGCGATAAAACTAAAATACTTTGATTTGTTGATAAGTTCCTAAAATGTGGAGGTGGATTAAAAAAAAAAAAAAAAAACCTTAGGAGAATAGCAGAAATCAAACTTCATGAAAAGTTCTGCGGGGGCTTTCTTGTGAAATGTATGAACAAAGGAGCTCGAAGAAAGGCATGGAAAACGATGATGTGTACTCTCCCCTCCTCCTTGAGTAATGAAGACATGTGTATTTGTCCCCTCAGTATGTTAAAGATTTCCTTTTAGTGGTACATTCTGCACTACTTTGTATAGTCTACCAAGGCGGGTATCCCTAGGAACAAGATTCTATAGGAAGCAGATACACTCTGATCACATTCAGGATAAGTGTACAAAAGAAAACTATGGTGTTTACTCTTTAGGGAACTGGAAACACTCCCTGCATTGATGTACATTTTAAGAATGGCACTTTTGATACATGTTATCATGTAGGTGCTTACTAGAGCTGAATTAAAGTTTTCAAAATCTGTAAACAAAGCAAAAAAAGAAAATTAAATTGTAGTCATTTGATTATTTTTTAAATCGGTGCTTTCTAGTTTGTTCTCCAAACAGAGTAAAAGCTGCCATCTATCGTCCACCAGCTTTTGACGTATTCATTACTCTGTAATGTAATACCTCTATCGTTGAATTCCCTTTGGAAAAAAGAGAGAAACTTTTCTCACCGCCACCAAACGCTGCTCGCTCCGTTGGGCTTGGTGGAGAAACACGATCTACGCCTATCCGTACTAATTGGGTTGTATCCCCATTAAAAAAGGAAAAAAAAGGGAATGTGGCCTTTCTAGTGTGTTTTTTCTTGGTGTTGTTTTGTAATTATCAAACCCAGGTAAGATGTTGGTATCCTGCACTGGATTTTTGAACGACATTTAGCAGAAGACAGGATTAAAGTACTGAGCAAAAATTTCATAAGGGTCCTTACGACGCTGTGTGTGTGAAGATATGTATACTTAGGCTGGGGATCTCTCTAAGAAACCTGGACTTGAAAAACAACTTGGAACAGTTGATCCACCTCCACATTCAAGTAATTTATGAATATGCAGAATAGGGATCGGTTCATCTAGAAAGTTTTACCATGTGTCTTCTGTGTAGCTGCAAGGAACACTAATGTTTCTACAACCGTCAGTCCACCCAGTGGTGCAACTGGTTCTGATTCAGTCTTCCGATTCCTTTTTGTTCTTCACCTTTTCCTGTTTCTTGATTTTTTTTTTTTTATTTGTGATCTTTGTTTCTATGAGGGGTTGGGGAATGGGGAGGGAGTCGCACCAAGACGTGGGGTTGAGAGGATTTTCATCTTTGCATCCAACAGGCAAAAAGTGTCCAAAAGTGAACTTGAGTCAGGAATGAAAACAATTTCAGCATAAACAAGCACAAAAATTTAGTCTGCTGGCTGACTGGAAGCAAAAAAAAAAAGTCAAGATGGAGTATGATGAATTCCAACACAATAGGGCACCAGGGCCTTTCGGCCTCTCTCTTTTATTTTGCTTTGGTTTTGTTTGTTTTTCTTTAGAGACACGCTCTTTCTCATGGGACTTGAAGTGGACTCACCTTTGTGCAGTGCTGGTTTTGCCATACTCATTTCAAGTATTATAGACATATGTAATGGTGAAAATATATGAACTGTGGCCTTTTTCATTCTTGTTACTTGTGATGCAATTAAGTGAAGATAAGAAAAAAAAAAAAAGCAGAGATTTACCATGTATCAGTGCCTGGCTTTTTGTTATAAAGCTTTGTTTGTCTAGTGCTCTTTTTGCTATAAAATAGACTGTAGTACACCCTAGTAGGAAAAAAAAACTAAATTTAAAAATAAAAAATATATTTGGCTTATTTTTCGCAGGAGCAATCCTTTTATACCATGAATATTACAAAAAAAAAATTGTCAGATTCTGAATATTTCTTCTTTGTAGATTTTTGGAATCATTATGAGTAAAAGTTTGTTACTTTATTTTACTATTTAAAAGATGTTATTTTACCATGTGTTACCAAGATGAAACGGTAAGGTAGCTCTTTTGTTGGTTTTCGTTTTCGGTTCTGTTTTTTTGTTTTTTTATTTTTATTTTTTAGTTGTAGGTCGCAGCGGGGAAATTTTTTGCGACTGTACACATAGCTGCAGCATAAAAAAACTAAAAAAAAAATTGTTAAAAAAAAAGAAAAAAGGGAAAATATTTCAAAAAAAAAAAAAAGATAAACAGTTACACCTTGTTTTCAATGTGTGGCTGAGTGCCTCGATTTTTTCATGTTTTTGGTGTATTTCTGATTTGTAGAAGTGTCCGAACAGGTTGTGTGCTGGAGTTCCTTCAAGACAAAAAACAAACCCAGCTTGGTCTAGGCCATTACCTGTTTTCTCATCTGTAGTTATTCGATGAAGTCATGTACATGACCGTTCTGTAGCAATAAATGTGCCATTTTTATAAACTGCTTCTGACACTTGTTTCATTTCATTTGGCCTTGTCCATGTAGCTACGATTCTCGATTCTCTTCTGTAAGTAAAACGGCATCTATAGTTCATTTTCCAAGTGTTGGAGATACCGACAGCTTAATAAACAAAACATTCAAAAAAAAATTACAGAAACAAATTTAAAGCAAAGCACATGATTGATCAAGGAAGAGATGCCCTTAATGAAAACGGAACAGGATGCATGCCAAACAGAAAGGCAACTGTCTAGAGGATTAACTAATTCAAGACGTGTAATTAACGTGCGTGTAACAATGAAGCTAAGATGGGAAGAGCTCTGAACTGCGCCAGTGTTTTCAGTTGTGCTGCAGCTTGCTAAGTCAAGTCAGCCTTAACCTTTTGGATCATTTGGCCGGCTGTTTGGCAGAACATTTCAACTAGATCTTTTCAGTCGAAAAATCTAAGGTGATTTATTTTGTATCACTTTGTTAAAAGCTGAATATTGTTAACCAC